TAGTTTGTGTTACTGAGGCGCCAGAAGTATGAAGCAGGCGAAAGTACTAACGACTCGGCGACGTCCTCATCGGGATCTTCCGAGACTAGATCAGGCATCTCGTGCGGTACCAGTCCCAACCTCTGCGAACGTTCAACCAAATCCTTCTAGAAGTCCGCAAGGTCGCCTGGTACCGGAAAACACACCTGATCTTCCGAGCCGTCGCAAATATCGCACTCGCTTGCGCCACCACCATCGGGCGTCGCCATTTGGGAGATCAAACAAAGATGGCAAAGGAACAAAAAAAGCAAACAAATTTTACGGGGCCCTGTAGTGAACAATTACAAATGGATAATGTTTTGAGTCTTGACACACAGTGAATCACTTCACACACAAAAAGAATGTTTTTGGCGTGTCAGTACTTTTTTAAGGAAGTACTGACAGACCTCTCTCTGCCGCGTTATAAAACAACAAGTAAAGAGAGTAAAAAAAAGAACGCCAAGTTAGCCGGACCTGGGATACATTCATGTGCATATAGCAGGTACCCGAGCTTGGCCAACGTAATCCACTTTTTGTGCACGCGCACACATCTGAAGAGCCCCAATAACAAGCACCACAACAACAAAAACACAGTTGGCTGCTCAGTAATCGAGTAGGAGAGCAGGTAACCGAAAAAAATACAAATAGAAACACAGTTTTTTTTTTTTTCATATGAAATTTCTTGTCTTGTGATCTTTTCAATGTTCCATGGGGATGCCTCGCATCCAGAAGTTCGATTTTCCCTTTGAGCGTGATCCCATCGAGTACGTGCTTATCGTTCCTAACACCTTCATACAGGTAGGAATGACAAACTCTTTTTTTTCTAATATAATCTTATTTATCAGTTTCATCTGCTATTTTATCATCTGAGTACATGGGCAGTCGTTTGGTCAACGATACGCCACGATGTCAAACAGTCGAAAGATTAAACAATTAACGGTTGTAACATTTATAATATTATTTTTATGACTGTGCATATCACAAGAAAACAGCTTTACAAAACAATATTTTAATTGTTAAATGCTGCCTCCATCGAAAATCGACACTAAAATGAATCTTCGTGTAATTTGAACATTTTTGCACAATTCCAAATACTCCAATGGTTGGAAGTCAGCAGCTAGCAAATTGTTTTTAATGGAGTTGGTGTGTTCAACATTACGTCGATGGCGGTCGGAAAGCGTCTAGCTTGTGTGTCCATGTTGTTGTTTTCTTAGTGGACTCTGTCACAAACAATGTCCGTTATGTAAAATTTGCGCTGAGTTCTGTATACCGAGAAATAGCGCGGAAGCACCCACATCAAACAAGCGCCCAACTGTTAGCATTTCTCAAACTTGGGAATTTCACAAATTGTACGTCAAGCGCCAACCCCCTTCAAAGTGTCGGCATTAGCGGCGATGACGGGGCTATCACGTGAGAATAAATGTGCTTTATCTGATTGCGCTCACCCTGCCTTCAATCCTCTTTATTGGCCGCCATGTTGGATTTTACGGATTTCATCGGACAAGCGCCCATGTCTAGATTAACCCAGTGCTCAGTGAGTGGTCTGGCCGTGCTTCTCCAGTATCTGAAAGTACATATTGCCACGTCTATGAGCGAGAAGGAACGCTTCTTCGTACATCTAGAACAGACTCTATCAAACGTTTCGGCTAAGGGGCTGGGTCAGGGATCTGTAGCTGTCTCGCGGGTCAGAAAATAAACAAGTACATATAGATCAGGAAAAGAACTTAAGAAATATTCTCTCAGATAAGCATTTAAATATAAAACTGAAAGTGAAAGTAAATATTAAAAAAGAAGAATCTACTTTGTGTATAAATCAAATTTCAGCTAATTATGACATTGCACAAATTCACGAGGCATACATAACAGTGCATAGAACATTTGGCATGTTCCAACAGAGCAGCAGCCTAATAACGATGGTAGAACTGATGCTGACAATATGCAATAGATACAGCACAGTACACCAAGCAGAATACAGATGGGAGGGCAAAGGAATTCTAACATACGTAGTTACACACATACAAAACACGGGACTATACTTCGTTTCAGCTTCGGTCCAGACGCAGCCAAAGCTACAAGCGGGAGCTCCGGGCATTCTGCATCCCTGCCAAGCACGCGCGCTCGTGCAGTGCAAGCACTGTTCTGGGCCACATGCTCGCGCTTGTAGCATCGGCTGCGTCTGGACCGAAGCTGAAACGAAGTATAAGAATGGTGATGCTGGTGACGACAATGTCCAATGAATAATTTGACGAGAGAACATCCCTTGCGATAGGAAGAGGAGAAAAAAAAGCTTGATCACGTTTCTCTTTTTTGCTGGTATGTTCATTGGTTGATGCGGTTAGTCTGTGTTGCGGCGCCGTTTCAGGCGCCCGCTTATTTTTTTGCGCCAGTAGCAGCGGGTGTGCTGGAGGCGGTCCGCGCGCCAGGCTTCAATGGAAGGACCGGACATTTACAAAATTCGTGGTTAAATTCTTTCGAACTCCTCTTAAAACTTTTCTGGAATCGTATTGAAACTATTAGGGGCGAAGCTCCTTAGGGGCTAGCCATGTCCGTATGTCCGTCCGCCGTCCGGCGTGCCCCTGCTCGTGAGCTCACAAGCGGGAGCTCACGAGCTCCTGCTCGTAAGTTCAGCAGCGAGAGCAAAAAAAAAAAAAGAAAAAAAAAATGAAAAAAAAGATGAAAAAAAAAGAAAAAAGAAAAAGAAGAAAAAATATAGGGGGTTCTAAGTGGCCATCCCATCTGTCTTCTTAAAAAAAGGAAAAAGAAGAAAACCACACATTTTCCTACTGACATGATTGAAAACGGCACCATCAGCACTACCTATGACGAAAATCAGTATCATCAGCACCACCCGAGCTTCGCTCCAATCAACATCATTCACCACGAAAAGATGCGGTATGTTTTTTTTTTTTTTTTTTTTTAAACTTTTTTGAGGTTTTTCAGAGTTTATTTTTACAACTTAACGCCTGGTTAAAATTGGCCACTTACATTTTTAGAATTCCTTAAAATAAATATAAAAAGATCAAATTTATATATATATATATATAAATTGTGGCTTTTGTTGGGAAATAGTGTGTATCATACACATACACATCCCACAAAGCGGTGGGAGACAACACGAAGTGATTTGTGTTGCCTCCCTTACCGCTCATTCACACTGAAAGCGGATCCGCATTCGCAAAGCGGTTTCGAACGCGGTTGTATAAAAATCCAGTACAATTGCACGTGCACTTGATGTCATCGAGTGCGCGTGCAATTGCAATAGATCTTTATTCAACCGCGTTCGCAACCGTGTTGCGAACGCGGATCCGCTTCCAGTGTGAATGAGGGGTTATTCTGTCCTTGTCTTGCGGCACATTTTGTCAAATGACATCATGTACCAACTGGCCCATCTGTCACCATTGTTTCATTCGCTGTGTGCTACACAATCGCGTGCGCGTTGAAACCGAAACTAACCAACTTGAAGCAAACCTCATGGCGGCAAGTTCGTCAGCGCCCTCTACCCGACGGTCAGGCAAATACTGAAATGAAGAAGTCTATAAAGAAGATGTTTTCAATATTTTTATAAAATAATTAAAATAAATATTTTTCTCTTGTTATAAAAGAATATAAAAGGAATGTCAATAATTTTTCTTATTTTTTTATAAAATTCTTTAAACAAAAAACATAATTACTTGTTTTTTTATATTTTTTTATAAAATATCCTACAAATAAAAACACGTCATTACTACTACTTTGTATTTTTTAATAAAACAGTCTACAAAAATTTCAATATTTTTTCTTTTGAATATTTTTGACAATTATCAAAACAAAGTGCACGTTTATAAAGAAATTCAGTCGGATCCCGGAGAGTCAGTAAGAAGCCTAACAAAAAATAAAAAGAATGTTGAGACCAGTTTTTGTTAGAGTAGCCAGCCGCGGGCCGGTCGGAAGGCCTCCGCGGGCCGGATTTGGCCCGCGAGCCGGCGTTTCGAGACCCTGATCTAGAAGATTCGTGTTTGCTCTTACCCCGAGTGAAAAAGATATGGGGTCCAGAATGACTTTGTCTAGTCAGTCTCGTCTTACCTCTCCTCCCGAACGATCTAGGTCGAACATGCGAGATACCCAGTGTAGTAGATAGTAAGATGCTGACCGTGACCGTGCGGACTCAACCTCCCGACTATGACGTCCTTTTTCTCCGGAGCTCGACTTTGCGTTTCCGCCGACTCTGATGCCCGCGACGCTCTGTATTTATCTTCATGTAACCCTTTTGGCTGTTCCTTCATTTTGGGCACAAATTCGCACCGTTAAACGTTCAGTTCATTATTCATCGTCTCTCCGCCTTAATCTATGACAATATGTCTAAAGGTAACAGAGACATTCTTCGAGATTCATCTGAGATTGTATTTAGACTATAGAAAGTTTCGCGTGAAGGTAACAAATTTACTTCTAATTGCTAGGTTTTTTCGCAATAAAAACTACCCTAAAACCTTTGAGCCTTTCTACTCTGGTGAAGAAGGAAGAGCAGCGGAGATGCCGCTTCTGTTCTCGGCGGTGGCTTTCCAAGCGAGCGATCTGCTCTTCTTTCGCAAAGGAATCTGAAGCGCTCGGCGCAGTGGAACTTTAGGCGATAGCGGCTTCGCGGTGGGTGCGGAATCATTCGCGCTGCTGCTCACATCACCGCTCGTTCCGCTCCCGATCTTCTTCCTCCGAAGAAAGGTTGCCGCCATCTATGAGCGACGGTTGCAACCAGTTGTCTGGTTGCCGCCGTACCTCTTAGCTTGCAGTAGCTGTCCAGAGTTCGGTGTCATCATCTCTAATCCGGCGGACATGGTCCTAGGGAACCTAGCGCTTAACAGATCCGCTGTAAAAAGAACAGGTGTATATAAGAAGGTATATTTTCCGCGAGACGATGATCCGACAGTATGCAATCTTTGATATGATTTCCTCCGATGATTCCACTGTTTCAGTTAAATATCAATCGGGGGTCTCCTTTTTCTTCGCAGCTCCCACCCCGACCGTCATCGTCGTTCGCCAGCAACCGGCTCTTGGTGCAGGGCCGATGCGCATGCGCTGTCCACACTGCGGTGCCCTCGTGATGACGGAAACCAAAAAAGAGTGCGGAGTCTGCACCTACGTCATGGTCGGAGTCTGCTGCCTTCTCTGGTGCTGTCTTCCGTTTCCTCACTACGGCGAGCAAGTGTTCCACAATGCGTCAGTGCTGCATAAAAGAGCCACCTCAACAACGAGGTAGAGGGCCTTAGAGCGATAAACTGGCAGCTAAAAGTAACCGCCAATTGGCTGCCGCCATGTTGCACATTTTTGACCCCTAGGCACGTTACCTTATGGATTTACGCCTAGATTTTAACGAAGTACCACGCACAAATAATTGATTATTTACTTTTATTACAATATACCGACGATATAAGTTACGTTTCGTTTGTTTCAAGTACAAAATGTACTTTTACGATAAAAACTCGGCCAGCTTCGCAATGCCTCCGCTAGATGGCGTCAGCCACGGTGCTGTATTTTGAGTTTTTATCGGAGCTAGCCACTGATATCTGGGGCTAACAGTGTTGACAAAATAGTTCTTTTGTGTGTGTGTGTGTGTGTGTTTTTTTTTTTTTTTTTTGTGGCGATCGTAATACATATCTCGGCTAAGTTTTACGTAAAAGCCGCAGGATTTGGTACGGTCACGTGTCTAAGGGTCAAAATTATGATAGCGGCTGCCAACCGGGGAGGGGGGGGTGGGGGGTGAGTCACTTTTGCCCGGTGAACGGGATACCAGTTTATCGCCCTAAACTCTCCACCTCGTTAACAAAAAAAAGAAAAGAAAAAAAAAAGAACGATTTGGGAACGCACGATGAAGAAGCAGCCAAGCGGACACCGTCACTGTCTGGGGTCGAGGGAAAACAAAATCACATCCGCACTGTGTTGGCGGTAACGCGATACAAGAACAGCGTTCCCGGTAACGCGTCATTCTTTTCGGAAGCATAGTAACGTAGTCGTTACGTCTTCATAAGAGCAACGGATTATGTACTTACGATGCCCATTTCATGTAACGAAAAACGTAGTTACCTTAGTCGTTACAACTTCTTCCCAAGGCTTTAAAAAAAATTACACTTCCCCCCAACGATCAGCGCCTGAAGCTTCATTTATTAAAAGTTTATTCCTCCTCCTTTTTTTATGCACCGAGCCAGATGACTTCTTGCGATTTCACGTTTTTAGCGCGTGTTTTTTTTTTTTTTCTAAGTATTCAGGCTACACCGTAAAAATAGAAGGCAATTGTGTTAAGTTCCTGCATGGGCGTAATGTTTCTTTAAATATGGCGGTTATGCATACCTGTAACGTAAACAAAAACAGTCAAACGTTTTAATTCGTAAATAAAAAGTGACTCAAAGGTAAGTTACTTTTTATCAGTAACGGCAACGTGTTCCTTTTATTCTGAGGCTAAGGAAGTTCGGTAACGCTTTCCTTTTATTTCAAGTGACAAATACCGAGGTTACTTTTTTTTTTTGTAATACATACGGCATTGCGTGCTAACATCGAGCCTGGAGGTAGGAATAAGAGTAGGCAATAAAAAGCCAGCCAAACGGTAAAATCCACCATGAAGCCGGAAGTAGAGATCGGAGTTGGGGGCATGCACCGCCAAACCAAGCTTCCACCTCCATGCGTGCTCGCATTTGGAGGGTAAAAACATAAAAAAAAAGTAATACACGATGTCTGTTAGGAGCTACAGACGAGCTTGCACACCGTGTGCAGCTTTCCAGCGCATATCAATACGAACTCAGCTGCGTTACGTCACGGCGCGGTAGTTGCGCATCGGGCGCACTTCCGGTCTGGGCCTGTGGGCGGAAGTCGCCATGCAGGACGAGCATTCCCGTGTTGTTTTGGAAGAAATCAGACAAAAACCTACCTTTTCGTCTGAACGCCGCGACTGGGGCTTTACCAGAAAAGTCGGGAAAGGTTTGAAGGTCAGTTTTCATGCGTTTTTTGCCTGCTCAGTTTGTCCGAGAACGTGGATAGGGGCCGTTAAAAGGGAAAACTAGACACCGTCGAAGCAGGATCGCTAGTGCGGGAAGCATTTTAAGCTGAATCTACGAACACTTCTGGTCGTCAGATTTATTTTTTTTGTTCCATCATGAACGCGGGTTGACCTGAAAACTGTACGGACCACCTAAGGATTACGTACAGTGCGTCTTCAAGTTCAAATGAACTATTTATCGTTCGAGCTGTCGTTTGCGCTCTCAAACGGTTCTGCTTGTTGTCGTCCGCTCGTTCAAACGACAGCGGCCCGTAAATTAAACGTTGACCCGGTAATTGCGATAAGAAGTAAGTGCAGGCCTCCAAAACTTCTAAGTTTGAAGGTTGAAGAAGGAAATATTGACAAATGTTAAAAGCGGCCATCAGCGACTCGTTATGCCCGATTCAATCGGTCCGATTCTGCTTGCTATTTTCTGCATCGACGTCGACCCTCTCAGCTACGGTTCACGCTTTTGCAGCCCGAGAGATGCCTAGATTAAAAATAGCGAGCAGAATCTCATCACGCAGTTCAGGCTTTAGCGTCCGTTCTGCTGCATCCACGCGGAATGAATTGTCGCATGCTACATTATTCTCGCCAAGTGTTGTGGTGTAACAAACCTCGTTAATTTTGCTGAGGCCGCTAGAGTAGTCAGACGTTGCCAGAAAGACGTAGAATCAACAGTTCCAAAAGGGAAAAGGGTGCGGGGACTCACACTGACGCCGACGACATCGCATTCCAATGGTTTGTTTATGGACGAGGGCGAGCTTGTTGCCCACACTCTATCGCACATGCGCGGCGCCGGTGGCGTCCGCTAAAAACGCTCCGTCTTTTTTTTTTTTTTTGTTTTTGTAAACATGAGTTTGTGAAAATTGGCAAGTGACCGGGCTGCGGATTCAGCGTCTGTTATTCCGCGGAAGAGAGCTACTCTACTGCGGAATAACGTTAATAACCGTTAATTAGTCTCACTATTCGCAACTTTCAGCGATGGTGATACCGTGTTGTGAGAATCGCGCTCCCTAGGTCCTGCATGATCGGCTTCACAATAAAGGTGCTTGCCTACACTTTCCCGGCGTGAAAAAAGAAATTGCAGGAGGACACTTAATACTCATTTCACACGGCAGCGTAAAGGTACCTTTAGCTTAGGTCTCTTAGCTGAAGGTACCTGTAACAAACGGCGTTCTGAATCACACGATAAACAAGCGGAGCACTTTGAGTCGATGTCGATTGCATTCCTGCTAAACCGCGAGAGGGGCACGTGATAAACAATTATTTATCGAAATCGGTATCCCGCGCAGTTTTTGTTTATAGTGTGTTTGAGATATCACATTTAGAACCTAAATATTATTCTTGTTTTCTTTTGTGGCACTTTATTTATTTTTTCTCCGAGTCTAAGGGCGCACCTAGAGCGCACCTAAATCAGCCTTGCTCTGAAACGTCTGATCCGTCTGCCAACACTGGCCCTAAATCACCTGCGTTCACGCGTTTTTATTGCGAAATGGGCGACCTTTTTCTGTTTAGCAGCTCTATTTCTCCGCAAAGTTCTCACTGAGGTAGCTAAATAGTGCCTGCAGAAACGAACCACGTCGGAGTCTCACGGTTACACCAGTCACGCCATCGAAAGGGTTGGACGAACGACGACAAGATCCTGGGTAAGGTTTGGTGGCTTCAACAGCAGCGGATTCATTTTAACTAGATGGAAGAGAGGTTCCAAGCAATGGAAGCAGAAGCGGACACACTTGCAAAACGAGCTCGCTGTGGTCCATCACGTTCGGGTTCGTAGCAGACATTGTTTTCCACGTGCCGCCGCTGCCACCTGCTTGCTGGAGTATGCGTTCCTTGTTAATGTATTATTCTATCACAGTCATGTTCAGAACAATTTCATAATTTACTACTTTTATATATTTAATTTGTTATAAAGAATTAACCAAGATATATTTATATATCTAGGATATTTATTTTGACTTCGTGGGTCCGAAGATACAACTAGAGCCACTAAATAAGCTGCGCTTAGAGTATCGGCACTCCGCTCCCCGACATTGTTGTGGGCGCCGCCATTTTGGCTCGTATGCAGAACAGACGCAACGGCCGATCGTCATGGTTCAAATGTGCGACTTCCTCAGCATTAGATTCGGTGTTAGGAAGGTCATGTAATGTTGCTTTGCTCTGTCGCGAACGGTTTAAACATTTGTGGAGGGCGGAAAAGCATTTCCTGTGATTTCAGATAAAGCTTCAGATAACTGGCAACCATGATTTTAAGCCACATAATGGCCAAGTGTCGTTACTCTGAAGCGTAGCTTATTTAGTGGCACTAGATACAACCAATTGAATATATATAAGTAGAAAATTATGAAATGGTTGCGAACACCCATGTGATGGAATAATACATTAACGAGGTACGCATACTGAAGCATACTGAAGCTAGTAGCTAGCAGCGGCGCCACGTGGAAAACAATGTGTGCTACGAACCCGAACGCGCTCGATCAATGCGAGTTCTTTTCCGAGGTTGTAGACGAGTCGTCTGAATCTCCCTCCCAGGGCTTTTTATCCTCGTCGTCGTCCATCCATTTTGATGGCGTGACTGCCGTGACTGGCGTAACCGTGAGACTCCGACGAAGTTCGTTCCTGCCTAGCTCTATTTAGCTACTTTAGTGGGAACTTCGAGGGAAAATGGAGCTGCTAAACAGTAAAGGCCGCCCACCACGCGGTGGAAACTCGTAAACTCAGATGATTTATGGCCAGTGTTGCCAGACGGGTCGGGCGTTTTAAATTCAGACTCATTTAGGTGCGCCCCTAGACTTGAAGAAATAAAAATAAAGTGCCGCAAAGCAAACACAAATAATCTTTAGGTTTTAAATGTGATATCTCACACTCACTATAATCAAAAACTGCGCGTAATACCGATTTCGAGGAATACTTGTTTATCACGTGCTCCTCTCGCGGTTTGGCAGGAATGCAACAACAATAAACTCAAAGTGCACCGTTTATTTATCATGTGATTCAGAACGCCCATTTACTACAATTAGATTAAAGAGCTAAGCATACCTTTGCGCTGCCATATGTATCGGGTTTAAGTGTAGGAAGGCGAAAGCCTTCCTACACTTAAACACCCGCAGTCCCTCCAGTGGAATATTTTGGGTTAATGTTCCTACACGTACTAAGGGCTTCACGGCTTCCGTGACTGAGCATCTGCGTCGCCGTGCGCATATCGATGGCAACGTCAAGGACGGTGTCTAGGAGGACGTCAAAAACGATGTCTAGGACGACTCCCTAGGACGACCTTTAGGACGACGTCCTAGAGATCGACGCCAAGTGCGGCGTCTAGGGCGACCTCGAGAACCTAATAAAGGACGGCGTCTATCGACCTCTCGGACGACGTCCAGGGCGACGTCAAGAACGGCGTCGAAGATGATGTCCTAGAGGACGTTATTTATGGCCACGTTTGCCTGCGGAAGCCGTCGTAGATGTAGACGCTGCTGGTGATGTCGAGGTCTTAGATGTAGATGTAGACGCGGTCGGCTCACAGTACATCGCACGAAGCACACAACGAGCGCAGATGAAGTCCGAAGCGCACATTTTGCACACGGCGCTCTGGCGATGACATCACGGTCCCGCTCTTGAGCGTGAGCGGCACGTGCGTGTTGACGTATTTTTATGGCCATCTTTCGGACACAACGAAGTCGCTTTTTCGCAAAATGAGAAAAGTAAGGCTTACACTTTAAACGTAAGGGTTCTAATACTGCTCGTATACAGCAAAACTACTATTACGTACGCGTAGCAGGCCCAGCCTCTACTGTTGTTCTACTACAGTGTACTAGAATTGGGGCCGGAGCGGCTCGCGTCAGGCGTGTGTTGTAGATCGCGATAGGTTTCGACACCGAACCACAGGCACCAGGGTCAGCATAAAACAAAGATGAAAGAGCGTGTTGGTGAAAATACGGGAGTCAAAGAAAGAATAAAAACACTTAAGGACAAGGACAGACAGCACAGTTCTTTCATGAAAGAACTGTGCTGTCTGTCCTTGTCCTTAAGTGTTTTTATTCTTTCTTTGACTCCCGTAGGGTCAGCATGTTGGTGGCCCTGACTGTTCCGATCTGGATGACCATCGTACCGGCGTGCGGTCGTGTATCACTACTGCGTGACGCACGTTAAAGACCCCAGGCTAGCGGTTGTACTGCACTGGCTAAATTGCTCATCTACAGTTGGGAGACTCGTCACTCGTTGAGGCAGACCAAGTTCTAGGCTGTATAAACATACACACAACCATATTTGTTTTTATGGCTGTGCGCGTGCACCGCGTGCATGCGCACGTGCGATGGCACGTGCGAATGCACGCGGTGCACGCGCAGCGGCACGTGCGGACTGCAGCGACTTTCTGCTGCCCTGTCGACTGCAGCGCCGCGATCGTTTTCTACACGCGCAGCCTCGCAAGCTCCCTTCGCCGAGCCGCGCCGGTCCGAATACTACCACGTATTCACTGCAGTTCTACGGTAATCATACAGATGACAGCCATTTTGATGAGTGCCAGGGCGCCTCCTATGGGTCGTGAAAGTGGCGAATACTCCGTTTCACTTAAGTTCCACCGCATGCGACGATCCTATGGAAGAAATCAAGTCGCCCAAAAACGGCATCGTCAAGGTGCCCATTGTCTTTTCTCGTTTGCTATCAGTGACACTCGCAAAAGTGCTCCGCGCTCAGCGCATTTATTTATTTTTTTTTTTTTTTTGGTGGGGAACGGGTGGGGGGATTATTGATTTCGTCTGCGATATAATACCCACAGAGACAACGGGCGCCGTGACGATGCGCCTTTTTGGCGCTGTTTAATTAGCTTCGCTGGATTGTAACGTCGGCTGCGGATAGGACTTAAATTGGAACAGTACAGTACGACTTGTTAGCTGTTTTTGTTTAATTACTCCGTGTCTAGATGTTCGTAGATTTTTTAGATGGGTGGTGAGCAGTGTCAGAGAAGCATGGAAGACATGTCCGGCTCATGACGTCACCGTGGGAGTTTTTGCGACGTGTACCGAGTAGCAAATACGCTGAAGCTCGTTACGCGACGTGAAATGGTGAGACGCTCAAAAGCCGTCTGCAGCACTACAACGCTACGCGGATTGACTAAATCTGCCGCTAAAAATCAAAGCCGCATAGCCTTTTTGTTCTGTTTTTGTTTTCTTCTCTGCAGTTCTGGCGGTACGATGTCTCAGGAGGAGCGAACCAAAAAAATACAATTTTAACTGTTTTGCAGAATTAGTTAAGAACGTGGTGTCTTGTACTGATTCTACACACAAAAAAAAAAATTTGTTTGTAGAACGAGAAAAAGTAATTACAGCTGGTTGTGCGCGTTTAAAGCCTGCATCACACGATACCTTTTTGCTCGCGATTTGGCAGTTAGGACGTGACGCACTGACGCTTCCTTAACTCAAGTGAGACATCGCGATTGCAAACTCCCGAGTAAGTTCGCGCACGGTGAATAATTCATAAAGTCCGTTTCACACGAACAGAGTACATATCTAAGGAGACGTCGTGTGCGTCTTATAAACTCGTTGAATACGTGCTCATAATAGTTTGTTTTCTGTCTTTGCTTTCAGCTTTCCTTGCTTCTGGGTTCCCCTGGTGGTGGATACCGGCAAGGACACAAGCCACACATGTCCCAACTGCCGCGTGCATCTAGGAGAGAGGCGAGCACTCTGAAGAGTACCAAGGATGTGGGCGGTGGAAGCACCCAGAGACTGCGAATATGTACTACATCTAGAACGCACGGGTGTGATAGCACGCCTGGCGCTTTTCTTGGTTTTCTCTCATCCTGCCTACGGTGTCCCCGCTGGCATACCAAGGTTGAGAAGTGATAGGGTGCACGGTGTTATCGGAGTGATCTCAACATTGCGTTTCATAAAGTGAGCCTGCTTTTAACACGGAATGTGTTTTACGGGTCGTAATTCTCTCTAAGAAAATCTATAAGAAATGAACGAGCGTCGTGAACGAGCGTCGTCAACGAACGACACGCTGGGAGCTCGACGCGATCCAGTCAAGTGATCCGCGCAGGCTCGGGCAAGCCCGAAAACCCGATCCCGACGCGTCCGATGGGCCGGGCTCGGGTCAATTAGTGAGCTCCCCGTCCGGGCTCGAGTCGGGCCGGGATGAAAGTGTCGGGTCCCTTTAACCCAAAACCTTAGTAAATATAGAAATTTAATTTCAAGAACTGTAGTGTACTCATGTCTCTCACCACATATTCATGGTAATGAGAGACTGCTATAACACGGTTCATCCTCCGCGGTCAATTCCGCGTAGTATGTGATTGCCTGTCGTGGAGCTGGTTTTTGTTTCATATTCACGATAATTTGTATTCTAGATTTTATTCCTGGAATTAAAAAAATCATGCCAATTAAACTCTTCTACATTTTCAAAATGTGCCTTTTGGTAAGGATCGAGGCTACAACAATCATGTTGCCAACATGCTAGACCTTGTGGACGAAGGAAACCGGTCAAATCTAACCGACACATCTTAGTCGTGCTGTAAGTTGTGGCATGAAAGTGAAATGATAGTGTCCGTAAGGAAGGAGTCGGCTGTATGGATGTAGCGCTGCACTGACAGCATTCTGGTTGAACAAGCGTCTCATTGACCCAAATGTGAAGCCTGAAATTTGTGAATATCTACAGTCCGCTGTGCTTGAAAACTTCGTACCGGTTGTCTTTTGACGTTCGCATTGACTGACTGGACAACATTAGCTACGCCGGCACTTCGCCTCCTTAGCCTAACTATTTCAAGCGTAAGGGCATTCCTTAAGCTGAGGGTGATAAACAGAAAAGAACAGGCTCGTATTAACAAGGAAAACATAGGTCGGTACATGTGTATCTAGTATAAATTAAATATTGTGTCATTCACCAGCTCACCTGAGTGTTTACCTTTCTTCGCGACTGAATTATTTGAATATATATTTTTAATCAAATAATTCATAAACAACACAGGCGAGCTGGTGAATGACATCCATAGTATACCTGAGATGTAGGAATAATAAAAAAAACGAAGCAAACAACAAAGTCTCTATTCAATCGTGACTTGACTGGAAGTTAAATTCACAGTCAGTTGGTGTGTAGAGACTCTCAACCGTTTCTGTTCGTGGGTGTGTTTCTCTTCACTTTCCTGTACACGTTCGATGTACAAAAATGCCATATTTTTTTTTATTTCTGTCATTTTATGTTGCTCATTCTAAACTAATAATAGTCGAGTGCTACCAAAACAGCAAGGCAAAAGCCATATCCTATATTCACCGAAAAAGAAACGTATATATATTGTTTAGATTAAAATCCAAAAAGTACGCCGAATTAAAAGAAAAAATATTGAGAAGGGAAAGCTCGATTCCAGATATGTGAACGGTAAAAACAAAAATGTCAAAACACGACGGACAGGAAGACGAAGTACACACAAGAAGCGCTGACTTAAAGCTGATTTATTTCAAAATCAGTTGAGAGTCAGCACTTCGTGTGCGTACTTCGCAATCTTGGCCTTCGCTTTTGGCGTTATTTAATGATGCGAAAGCATTAACAGTCCCATAGAGCCAGCCGACGTCATCAGCTTCGAGGCCGCGCCAAACGGCAGCCGAATTCCCTCCCAATGGAGCGAAGCGAAGCCATGCAAAACGGCAGCGAAATGAAGCCGCGATCTGAAGCCTCCCAGCTTTGAAGCCGCGCAAAAAGCCACGCAAAACGGCAGTGAAATAAAGCCGTAATTTGAGGGATGGGGCCGCCTCGCGTCAGTTTCAAATAGCGCCACCCCATAGCGCTGCGAGCTCGGAGGAACCGGAACCACAGTGCACGCGCTAATCCGCAGCAATAACCGCCGTACATGTACGGCGGTTATTGCGCGTGCACTGCGTTCCGGTTCCTGTGGTTGCGTGTGCATCAGCAGTATTGGCGACGTGCGCGATCGAAAGCGTCGCTGTGGTTGGCCGGCCATGATTGGCCGAATGCTGACTATGACGTCAGGAAAGGATTTCTCATCGACGAAAATAAGAGGAATGTAAGAGCTTGAAGTTTTGATGGTGTTGACAGTATCGCTTTGCGAGGGTAGTGATTTCAAGCTTCCACCATGCTCATTGCAAACACCATCGAACTTGTTGTTCACAAGGTAATGACGTCACGAGAGGTAAACATACGAGGGCGCCACCAAAACATCTCGCCGCTAATAGCATGGCGGAATGTGGAACGCTGAAATAGAAACGCGACAAATGCTCTTGCATACGCAGTTAGTGCATATCTGTGTGGACGACTCAACGCCAAGAAGAGCCTTCTGGCTCTTCTGGGCACCGAGATACCAACGGGTGTCCGGCGAACCTTGTTCCCAGGCTGAGGGACCAAGACACAGAGCTCTTTCGAAGGTGAATATTTTTTTAACTGCGTGTCTTCGAAACCAGGGTCAAGCATATCGAATAGAAAGCGATGAGGTCGTACCCAATCAATTAGTCGCTCAGAATTCATGACTCTGGATCGTCTGCCCGACCCTTTGCTTGGAGAGCAGCTCTTTTACTTCTTCTTTTCTTTCAATGCCAAACGATGAACAGCAGCGGAATCGTCGTGTACGCGCATATCCGTAGCACCAAGCACGGCACAAGGAGCGTGAGAGCGCCTACACCGCGCTGCTGAATCAAGCGCAAACTGTGCGCCTGCCTGGAGCGCTTCTGAAGCGCTAACCGAGTGCTACGTCACGCGCAAGTCGGTGCCACATGAGCGCTGCTTCTAGCGCTCATGAAGCGCTAGCTGAGCACTCCGCTGTATCTGTGAACCGGCCTTAACCTTTGCCTTAACCCTGCCGTGTGAACGGGGTATAAGGGACATTCACTGGACGCCATACTTGAGTGCGCTGTTCACTGCGCATGCTCACAACGGGCTCACATTTACAGGCTGCTAAGACCGGCAACCTTGAGGGTGTAGAATGCACTTTGCAAAAGGACTGTGGAAGCTTACCGTCAGCACGCGCTCGGCATTTACGCAGACTAGTGCCACTATATAAGCTACGCTTCAGAGTAACGACACTTGGCCATATTGTGTCGTAAGATCATGGTTGCCAGTTATCTGAAGCTTTATCTGAAATCACAGGAAATGCTTTTCCGCCCTCCACAAATGTTTAAACCGTCCGCGACAGAGCAAAGCAATAATACATGACCTTCCTATCACCGAATCTAATGCTGAGGAAGTCGCACTTTTGAATCATGAGGATCGGCCGTAGCGTCTGTTCTGCATACGAGCCAAAATGGCGGCGCCCACAACAATGTCGGGGAACGGAGTGCCGATACTCTAAGCGCAGCTTATTTAGTGGCTCTAACGCAGACAACTATGGCTCGTAGATGCGCTAGCGACCCAACAGCGCGGGCTGATTTGCCGATTGCAATGATACCTATGTTAAGGGTACCTTTATGCTGAGCATGTGAATGGAGCAGATTTCTACTGTGCAAGGTGCCCCGGGAATATGACGAAGCTACTGTCAAAATAGAGCACCCAATAACAAGCGAGAGTGGTCAGAACATATATTTTTGTTTATTAAAAAAAAAAAAAAAAAAGATTAGAAAAGTTTAAAAACTAGGGTATGTAATATAGCTATACATGTTCAAAAAAAGAAAAAAAGGAAGACGCGCTCCTAGTTTTATACTTCGTCACGATCTCCTAGAACACAGTGAACGCCCAAGTCATGGCCACGCCAGGTATAAAATTTCCGTTTCCAGTAATTATTTCTGAGCAGTTTTCAACAACGTAAACCGATATGAACGATTTTAAACTACACTCCAAAAAACTCTAGTGCGTCTATTTTACTGCAAATCACCTGGAACACTAGTCATTGACAGCTCCCTCTGCAAAACCCAGAGATCGTGGGCCCAATCCCCACCCCCGCCCGTTTCGATGTAAATGCGCATCGTACTGGCGTGCGGTCGTGTATTACTTTCCTTTTTTCTTTATTCTACGGTCGTGTATTACTACTGCGTGGTGCTCGTTAAAGACCCCCGGGCTGGCGGCGTGCACTGGCTAAATTTCTCAACTACATTGAGGCTAACTGGCATACGGCTGTATAATTGTACACACAATTACTTAGTCTTTGCAATCTTTGGAGGGAGATGGGGAAGGACGAGGTTGCAAGAATATGTTTAGTATACAAAACACAGCTTGCGATGTGACAAAACATGACGTTATCATATGAAACGTCATGCTGATTTCCGCCGCGCAGAGGGAATGTGTATTGGAGGAAACTTAGGGCGACTTGTAACAGTCAAGAAAGCAAAAAGGGACTGGGGAAAAAGGCGAGAGAAGAAAGATAAGAGAGGGGAAAGTCTATATTTCATTTCACCTTAAGTCCAGGAGCAGCCAACGCTACGAGCTGATGAGATCAATCAATCAGACAGCGTCAAGAGCGCACCGTCATGGTTTCGGTCATGTTTCTTTACGTGTTCTATTATCGCTGGACGAATCATAAGCAGAAAGGTCCAGTGACCTGAGCTTTTGAGGCTGCTTGATTGGTCCAATTACCTCGAAAGAGTCGGATGTGTCTGAACATAAAGAGTGTTTAAAAAGAAAAAAAAAAAAAAAGAAACTTTATAGCCTGGTTGGGACACGCAAATCAAAAAATAAATTTTACGCGAAAAAAAAAATTAGAGCAATATTGACGGCGAGAGATTTATTCGAAATTATGCGCGCAAAGTCCATGACGTCACGGAATGGTCATTTGCTCTTTCGACCTCAACGTGAAAGTGAAGCCGATCCACCTCTCCTCCACGAGCCCAAAATGTCGAGAGCGAAAACAAGTGTAAAGGAGGTGACTACAAGCTAAATTGCGTCTCGCGCCCTCAATACTGCTCTGAAAAAAAAAAAAAAAATCGCGTAAAATTAACTTTTTGACGATGGCTAGCGTTAGCGACGCACTTACTGTTTCGGAACGCAGGGGCAAATATCCCCAAACAATCGTAGCATCAAATATTGTAGGACGGGGCATGTTTAAGGGTTGGAGCTGACTTTATAACGACTCCAGCCTCTGTTCCAGCACGTCGTGCAAGCCAGCGCTCGTGCGACTGCAGCCAGCGGATGGATGGACGTTAAGCCCGGTCCAGACACTTGCGTTTGACTGCGTTTGACTGCGTTGCGGCAGCGAGAAACCAGGACATCCCTGCTGCTTGTATCACGTGCCAAGATGATTCCTTGGATTCGATTCCACGCTTCATACGAAGCACAGATCCGCCAGTGACTCGCTTTCCGCACTCGACGCAACGCAGTCAAACGCACTCAAACGCAAGTGTCTGAACCGGCCTTTACTGTAACGGAGGGTAGCTTGCGCCACCTAGCATAAGTCTAAAAAGACAAACATATTACTTCCGCCTTTCTAAGCCAATTTTCTCCCCCCAACTATT